ATTATGATAAATTATATTATTATTTATGAAAATTTTAATATAATGGTGATATCTATCATTATTGACATGCAAACATAATTAATTTTAATGAATATATGAAATTTATTGAATTGTTAGTTACATTTGACATGTAAAGTTTATCCTCCATGTGTTTCTTTCCATTCATAACTAAAATAACCACTATTAAATTATAATCAAGCAATACATCTTCAATTATACCAAAAAATAAAAAAAATTTACAATAGGTCATAACTAATATCAAAATGAGTCATAACTAACTATTACTTGATATATAGTCATAACCAAAATAACAACTACAAAAAGTTATATCTAAATTATATCTAACACTATAATGTGTCATAACTAAAGACTACGAAAATCATAATTGCGACATATGATAGATACTTTTTTTACAATATATTTTATAGAATTTCTCTACTAAAATATATCATTTCTATCTCAACTTATCTTCTTTTTTAATTTTCCAATCTACTTATAAAATAGTTACTCCCAAATATTTATATAAAATTTAATCTCAAATCTTTTAATTTAAAATTCACGTTTATCCAAATATACTCTTAATATTTAAGTTTAATAATATCTTATTATTGTTTATTATGAAAAAAAATTAATATTATCATTAATTTATATTCTCCCTCCATTAAATTCTTGGTTACATCACTATATATATATATATGTATTTATATCTTGTACTAAAAAAAAAAAAAAAAAAAAAAAAAAAATTGTTAAACTTAAATATAAAAAGTAAAAATGGGGATTAAAGTGGGTTGGGGAAAATTCATACCCATTAAAAAGTGGAGAGGGTGGTACCCATGGAGAATGGGGAATGGGGAATGGAGAAAATTTATTATAGGAGAATGGGGATGGAGAATTAATATCCACCCCATTACCCTATTGCCATTCCTAGTTATTGAAATTTTTTGAGAAACCGATACACCAGTATTAATTGTTGAGAGATACTTAGATGACAAATAAAGACACAAATATGTGTCCCATTTTGGATTTTTTTTTGTTTTTGTTTTTGGGTGTGTACATAGCCCGACCACTTTACCTATCATTTGATATGTATACAGATTAATTGGGTATTAAACTCATGCAAGGCCATTGTTGTCATTAACATTTAACTAATATGAATGTCACATTTTATAGTTTGTTTTATGTTCAAATCTAAACTCAATTGTTAAGTTTATGGGCTCATCATAAGTTTTATTTCGGTGACTTAAATAGCTTAATTATTTTGTAAAATTATTTATAAATTTTTTTTTTTGTTTGTTAGGGAAGCCCAAGAACATGGACTTTCTAGCATCATTATTGTTATTTGTTTGCCTTAGGTCGTTTGATATTGACTAATATAATTAACTTTTTTGTGTTGAGATTTTTTTAGCCTCGTTTAGTTTTTATGTTGGGACTTTTTTGACTTTTGTGAAAAAAATACAATAATTATGGATAAAAAATAGTATTTTGTCTTATTAGCTTTTATAGTCAATTTTGTCAATTTTGTGATTATTTAGCCCTAAAATGAATGTCAAACCGGGGCTAAATGTTTCTTATTTTTGTACCATGTTCTAGAAAAGTAAATCTGTCACTTATATTTTTCTAATTTTAACTCTACACAATAAATTTTATTGAGTAAATTACATTGACACCTCTTGATATTTTTGTTTAATATATTCACATTTAAAAAATTATACTTACCCTCTGTCAGATTAAAATGACATATTTGGCCCTTAGCCTTTATACATATAAAATAATAAAATATGCAAATATTTTGTTCATGTCATTTCAAGAGAAATAACAATTATCTTCTTTAGTTTGACTTACATAAAAAATTGATTTTTTTTTTCGTGTTTTTTTTACTGATTTTTTTAAATATTTTAAATAAATTTTTATTTTTATTTTTATTTTTTAGATACACCTAATCTAGATATACTTAAGAAGTATAATATTTTTTAATTTTTTTTAAATTCAAAAAATTCAAAAAAATATATAAAAATACGAAAATTTAATACATTATCTTATTTTGTTGTATTCAATGATTTTTTTTAAAACTTTTTTGTACAAAATTTGTACTTTTTAAATATATTTAGTAATATAAATATAAATTATGTTTATGGGTGTTTTGTTTTAAAATGAAAGGTCACTATTAAGTTATATCATTGTGTTTGAAAATTCTATATAAAATTTTTGTTTATATATCATCACTCAATAAGAATATGTTCAGGTAGAATTTAATGATGAAAAGTTGTAGAAAGTAGTCATGATAATAGAAAGAAGAAACAGTAGAAAAAAAAGTAAGATGGTCATTCAGAAAATTTTAGGGCATGATATCAGCAATCTAAGAGGCAATTTATAATGAAATTACACATCTCAAGGACGAGAATGTAATTTTTTAAATGTGAAGGGAGAATCTGTATTAAACAGAAATCTGAAGGGGTGTCAGTGTAATTTATCCAATTTTATTTTCAGAATAAATTTCAAATTAACTTTTTATGGTACATAACATTTTTGTGAACCATTTATGAAACGTTAGCTCAAAACACAAACATTTCACATTTTCTGCTCTGTTTGAGTGAATTTCACCACAACCCAGTTGATGCATGGGTTTGTTTTAAAGAACATTAATGCCTTTATTTAATATACGCAAAAATTTTAAATACGCAAAAATAAAAATAATGCATTACTTAATATATATATATATATTTAAAATGACTCAAAATTAAAAATCTATTAATCAATATATAAAAATTAAAAATCAAATTATTAATCAATTCTTATTTTTGTATGGTGATGGCAGTAGAAGTAATAACACGATGACAATGTTACGAAGATGACAAATAGGGTGGGAAATTTCTATTTTGAGATTGTGATCCATTTTGGAGCACTTTTTCAGTTATAAGGGAGGGGATAAGGGCAAATTACATATACACCCCTCCAGGTTTGACAAAATTACAGATACCCCCCTGAGGTTTGAGAAATTACGAATTCCCCCCTGAATGCTATATTTGCATAAGAAATTAGGGGGTAATTTGTTATGAAATATAAACCTCAGGGGGTAAATTGTTATGAAAATACAAACCTCAGGGGGCGGGATGTAATTTCCGAAACCTCAGGGGGGTATCTGTAATTTAACCAAACCTGGACTAATTTCTTATGCAAATATAGCATTCAGGGGGGAATTCGTAATTTCTCAAACCTCAGGGGGGTATCTGTAATTTTGTCAAACCTGGAGGGGTGTATATGTAATTTTCCCTATGACAAAAGATCCAGTTAGGTCAAATTGGTTTAGTCAAATCGGATCCTCAAATTTAAAAAAAAAAAAAAAAAAAATCATACAGACTGAAATTAATGTTTAAAGGGGCCAAATAAAGAATTTTTTTTTATTTTTTATTTATTTTCTAAGCTTACATTGATGTGTGATTTTAAAATTTTTGCGAGGTGGTTGCCCCATTCGGACCAATGCTTGCTCTGCCACACTACTATGGCAAGACTAGTGCTTGAGATTTCAAAAATGGGCGATCCCCGTGAACCCCAATTGATGTGGACAATATATTTGTATTTTTTTTTTCTCAGAAATGTTTGGAACCCCTTTTTTTGGAGGTTTCATGACTTCCAATTTGATCTTGGCCGTTGATGTGTGTGTGGGGTCCACTCACGTATGTATGGGCCCCACATTATAAGTGGTTGTGATAAGAGTGGGGGTTACAATTGTTTTCTTTCTTTTCTTTCTTTTTCACAGGTGTGTAGGAGCCGTAGGAATTATGTTTTGTGCGAGTCTGTATCAAAACCGATTATGGCAACGATGGTGAAGTAATGCTGGTGACATGGCATTGGCAGTAAGATGGAGGTAATGGTATCCGTGGTGATGTTCACAATAGTGTCAATAGGGTTGGGGTGATATTAACAGTATTGGTTGTGACTGAATTAAGGTGGTGATAATAGTAGTTCAATAATGATAATAATGAGGGTGGTGACATGATGGTAGAGGTGATGATGTCAATCAAAGGTAGAGAGCCTGGCCCAGCAAAGCCCTTACTCAAATTTATAAAATGGAAAATGTTTGGGACTTCCTTTTGGGGAGACCCCACCACTCCCACAGTGACGTGGACAAATACTATGTTTGTATTGTTTTTTTTCTTTTTCTTTCTTGCTTGGACCAATCACAAGTACGTAGAGACTGTGGGGGTGATGTTTTGTGGGGGTCTAAATCATTACTTTTTATAAAATTTATAATTTTTTAACTTATGTTCATAAAAAAAAAAGGTTAGATCAAATTCTCTCTAAATTCCAATATATGCCTTTATATATATATATATATATATTTAAAAAAAAAGGTCTTATACTTTGCCCTTTTGATTTTTTCTTTTTTAAAACAACAAAACCTCCTTTAATATGTTGTAAAGTGAACTTTTAAGCATTTATTCTAATTTATTTTTTTGGTAATACTTGTTAATTTAATATTTATCTAATAATTACATATCTTTTAAAAGTGATTCCCGCTCAAGTGATTTATATCATTTAATATTAGAGTTAACTACCATGCCGAGTATAAAATCGAACTCATTTATCCGAGGATTTTGTTTTTGATCAGGCATCTATCCGAGGATGTTAGGTACAACTTTGCAACTTAAGAAGAGGACGACTCATATAAGCTCTGTATAGGTTGAATTAAAATACCAAATAAAGTGTCAAATACTAATAACTAGCCAAAGCCTCTAGAAGAGAAAAGATTACCACCAGACTACCACCAGGTCAATGCTAATAGAGTGAATCGCCGTGAACGTCAAGCCTCAAATTTTCATAATTTCTTCACCAACTCTTTTTTGACCCACCAAAATTAAATATTATGCCTTGAAAGATCAAATTGATGAATAGAGAGAGAAATAGGGAAATAAGCATTAAATAGATAAACTGGATGTCAACTCTTTAAAGATGTATTCAAATTTTTCAATACATAACCCCACACAACACAATTTCAATCCCCATCTCACAATCATCTTCTGGGTAAAAATCATATAAAAAATTAAAAAATGACCAAATAAAAAATAAAAGTAAGAAGAAGAAGACCTATTGTGACGTGCTTGAGGGTTTACAATCACCCTAGTCATTGTCCTACATTTGTCAAATGAAGACATTAGTTGGTAGAATGATTCAAATCAAATGTCCAATACAGGCAAGTTCTTCCCTCCCATCTTCCTTGATGCTTCTCTTCTAATAACTTGTTTCTTTGTTTTCTATCATTTTGTAGAAAATTAAGTTGAGAACATTCGTATTATGAGGAAAGACTTATTCTTCACACAACCCATAAACGGAACACAAAGATGACACCGCATGAACATGACCAACACGACACAATTCCCACCCCTACTTAAATCCTTGCTCTGCTCATTGGCAAACACAAACAAAGCAATCATGGTCAACTCTTCTGTTTGGCTAATATGCCTATCTGCTCTCTTTCTTGGCCATGGTGTCTTAGAACTTGAAGCTTCTCACCATGTCTACAGACAGCTCCAAACACTTGAATTTCCTCCTGTAAATCAGCCTTACAGAACCTCTTTTCACTTTCAACCTGAAAGGAACTGGATGAATGGTACTTGTCTTAACAAAACTGTTTTCTGAAAACACATAAAACATGTTCAAACTGTTATTAATATTAAATCCTTTCACGTCTCTCTAACTGTTTGCTTCTTTTTCTCTTGTTCCTCGCCGCAATGACTTGTTCCTTTTGATTCTCAGATCCTAATGGTGAGTTACAATGGTTAATTCAAAAATTCAGATATTAAAAAAATTTTAGTACTAAAGGATTTTAAAGTATGTAACTTTATGTTTTTGTTGCAGGGCCTATGATTTACAAGGGGATTTATCATCTATTCTACCAGTACAACCCTAGTGGTGCACTTTCGGGGACCAAAGTGTGGGGACATTCTACATCAACAGATCTCATCAACTGGATCCCCCATGATCCTGCCATCTACCCGTCCCAGCTGTCTGATAGCAACGGATGTTGGTCGGGTTCCGCCACAATCCTCCCCTGGGACCAACCGGCCATTCTCTATACCGGGATAGACCAACAAGGGCAACAAGTTCAAAATCTGGCCATCCCCAAAAATCTTTCTGACCCATACCTCTTAGAATGGGTCAAGTCACCAAACAATCCACTAATGGCACCCACTCCAATAAACAAAATTGATCCAAACTCATTCAGAGACCCAAGCACGGCTTGGCTAGGACTTGATGGGAGATGGAGAATGATCATTGGAAGCGTAAGGCGTAATCGAGGTATGGCAATTCTATACAGGAGTAAGGATTTTGTTCACTGGACTAAAGCTCAACACCCGCTATATTCGGCCAAAGACACAGGAATGTGGGAGTGTCCTGATTTTTTTCCAGTTTCTAATAGTAGCATGAATGGAGTTGACACATCAATGCTTGGTTCTAGCATCAAACATGTCCTCAAGGCAAGCTTAAATGGGCATGATTCCTACACCATTGGGACATACAATCATGACAAAGATATTTATATTCCGGATAATGGGTCCATGGAGAGTGATCCACGGTTGAGATATGATTATGGAAGATACTATGCTTCGAAAACTTTTTTTGATAGTGCCAAGAACCGGAGGATCCTATGGGGATGGATCAGTGAGGGCACTACTAATGAAACCCTTGATATCATGAAGGGATGGTCTGGAATTCAGGTAATTAAGGATTAATTCTCATTGTCACAATATATCAAAATCAAAATCCCAAAATTCTCACGTTATTGTGGTGATTCTGGCAGGGGTTTCCAAGGCAAATTTGGCTTGATAAATCCGGAAAACAATTGATGCAATGGCCGATTGCAGAGATCGAAAAGCTACGTAGGAATCAAGTTGACATGCCTAGCATGGTGCTAAAGGGAGGCTCAGTGCTTGAAGTTTCTGGTGTCAATGCCACACAGGTTTGCTGTTTGATTATCACTGGACAATGGGATTTGTCTAGGTCCCAAAATATGAAAATATATGTGTTTAGAACCTAGCCGATTTTCGTGAACCAGCACCGGTTTGACCAGGTGGATGGTCCAACCGTGGTTTGCAAGCAGTTTTGACAAATTCTGCCGGTTTGGTATTCAGAACGGTTTTGTGGGTTTATCTGAACCAGAATAGAGCCCAGTTCAACTTGTTGAATCAGCCAGTCTGGTCTGGTTTTCAAAACATTGTAAAAAAAGTGCACAATTGTTTCGTATTTAATTTTGCTCGTTACTCTCACAGGCGGATGTAGATATTGCATTTGAAATACCAAAGCTTGACAAAGTAGAATTGCTGGACCCAAACTGGACTGACCCACAACAGCTTTGTAGTCAAAAGGGTGCATTAGTTGGAGGAGAGCTTGGACCATTTGGGTTAAAGGTTTTGGCTTCAAAGGGCTTGCAAGAGTACACAGCAGTGTTTTTTAGAATTTTCAAAGATCAGAACAAATTTGTGGTGCTCATGTGCAGTGACCAGAGCAGGTCTCTCTCTCTCTCTCACACACACACACACACACACACACGCACACACATATCTTGTCCTGCTTAAATTAGAATATTATTAATCTTTGTTTGTTTAATGAACAGGTCTTCATCAAATCTAGATTATGACAAGTCCACTTATGGAGCTTTTGTGGATGTGGACCCTGTTAATGAGAAACTGTCATTAAGGACCTTGGTAAGTTTCATAACAGTCTTTAAGAATCACACCTGTCAGAGATCAATGATATGGTCTTAAATTAATTAGGATTTGGTAATATAGAAGTATGAAGCTTAGATGATGATTTTAACATGCTGTTTAGGAACTAAAAAAAAAAAATATTCTTCTTTGACTTCTCTACCTTTCCAAGCTATAACGTAGACAGGTATTTCTTTTGTCAAAAACTGCCAATTGACCCTGTTTGGGTTAAAGCTTTTTGGTTGAGAAGTTTCGCAGGTAATCTTCACTCAATGATTGGTTCTCATGGAACTGCTAAAATTATAAATAACGCAATGATACTCTATTCCTAAATCTCTTTGTTCCTCTATTTTAATCTACTTGCAATTGCATAATATGATAAGAATCTCGAGATGTGATCGTACGTCTAAAAGTGGATCAAGACGGAAGAATTTGGGAACAAAGGGATTTAAGATCCCTGTCTCAATTACACACGTCAATAACATTCAGCCTCCGTTTGGGAAGTGGGTTGGCTTTTTGGCTTTTTGACTTTTTTAGTTATTTTAGCCTGGGGCTAAAAAAACCTGGTTTGGGAAGGGCTTTTTGACTTTTTTAGTTTTTTGGCTTTTTGGTGAGGTGGCCTCCTATTAATTTATCAAAGTGCCCTTGATCCCCATGTACCTGTAATTCAAAGATTTTGGCATCCACGTCAGCTTCCCACACGGTCCACCAATGTTGTTTTTTTGTTTTTTATTTGTTTTTTATTTTTCTCTTATTTTTGGTTTTGATTTGCCGTTTTTTGCTATCTTTTCTTTTTTTTTTTTGGGGGGGTTTCGATTTGGGTATTCTGCTTAAATTTTTTTATTTTTTATTTGTTTATTTTGGGTTTTATTTTGGCGTAGTTTGGTAAAATATTTATTTATTTATTTTTTGCTTAAATTTTTTTAATTTTTTTAAATTTATGTTTTTGTCATTTATATTTTTTTATACATTAATTAGTTCTTGTTCTTTAATTTACGTTCTTTAAATAATTTAAAATGTTAATATTTTTAATTTAAAAACAATTCTGTACTCAAATCGTAACTAAATATATAAAACAAAACTTAATTAAAATTTTATTTTAATTTTATTTACATTTTTTTTGTATTTTAAATATTTAAATAATGTAAATATTCTAAAAATTTACCTTGGAAAAAATTTAAAATAAATATTCAAAAAATTTACATCGTAAAAATTTAAATAATTTAAATATTCAAAAAATTATTTTAACAAACAAATTTAAATAATTTAAATATTCCAAAAAATAAAAATAATTTAAAATGTTAATATTTTAAATTTAAAAACAACTTTACACTCAAATCGTAAACAAACACATAAAATAAAACCCAATTAAAAAATTTTTTTTAAAAATTTTTGTTTTTTAAGTTTTTTTTTTTTTTTTTTTGTAGGAGAACAGTTTTGCCAGCTCCATAACCAAACACATAATAAATTTTTTTTAAAATATTTACAAATAATTTTATAAATAGAGTTTAAATTTATTTTTATAAAATATTTTAACAAAAACCAAAAAAACGTTTTTAATTTTTTTTTTCAACGTCCTTTGTATTTTTTTGAAAATAGGTATTTTTTGGGAAGTGACTGTAAAGCTTTTGTGGTGATGCCCCTTTCTCATGTGGGGGTAAATTTGTAAATTTACCTTGACAATGGTTGGTGGCAAGTGATTATGAAGTTTTTGTCTCCATATGGCTAAAATCTTCTTTTTTGTCTTTACGTGGCTAATTTAGCCCAAGAAGTCTTTCCCAAACACCACCTCAATAAGTCAAGGACACATAACCAATATTAGAAAATATAGGTGGACCAATTTGAGCAAAACAATCTCTTTAATGATGGACCTCACCATCTGATATATATGGATAAGATTATTTTATATAGTTAATTGTGTGATTGATCCACCGTCCCTAAACTATAATAACATTCCTGCACAATTCCATCACTGTGATGTGTTGGCATGCAAGTGACCAAATTTCCTAAATTTGGGTACAACAATTTTACACTACACATCATTTTTAGCGTATCTTTAATGCAAGTACATAATGTAAGGTACAATTACTATCTGCAGATAGATCACTCGGTAGTGGAGAGCTTTGGTGGAGAGGGGAAGACTTGTATCACTGCCAGGGTTTATCCTACGTTGGCTATCGACAGCGGTGCTCATTTATACACCTTCAATAATGGAACTCAGAATGTGACAATCTCAAGGTTGAGTGCATGGAGCATGGAAAAAGCTCAAATCAGTTAGCCCCAACAAGTCCCTGCTGATGGATCAAGTGGGGCTCAGTTATTAATGATTTTTATTGAATAACAAGAATTAAGTATTTATCTTTATTTGATTCATTCTTGACTAACATATTCTATTTATATTTCATTTTATTACTGTTGGTCCAATAATCATTTGTCGTTGTTTTCTGTTCTGTTTCTTGTTTTGTGCTGTATTTCGTTTTCTATCAACAAAAGATAATTGGGACTAAATATTAGCTCATAAACAAATTTTCACATTTTAACAGCATATATATAATTCCATATAAGAAAAATATGATCACAATTAACAGCACCTCATAGGCACAGTAGCAAGATTATAACAGTGAATACATCACATGTCAATGGCAGAAAAGAAAAAAGAGTACAATAAATTAACTTCATAAACCAAACAATAGGGGAAATTGCAAATCAGTTGTAAGACCAAAAAAAATTGCAAAGACATGAAAAAGTTTATCACTTCAATTATTAAAGTTGATAAGCTTTATCATTGATTTGAAATTTGTTTTGGAAACATATGAATTGGTCAAAACTTTACTACCGTGGAAGACAAGGAACTAGAGTTGGCCACCATGGGAGCACATAGGGGAAGGTGAGGATGAAGACGCCAGGACGTGCCAGAGAACAGATTGGTTCCAGACTTTTGCTCCTCCCCATGTTGCACTTAATGATGTGACCGGAAAATCTGAAAAAAACATCTTTGTCAATGGGATCAAAAGCTAGTGTTGTCATAATGTCACAGGGATATTTAAGAATTTGAGAAACGTCTGATGATACTAGTAGTTGACTATAATGAAACCAGTTTTCCAAGCACCATTCACCTCTACTATAGTCCTTGAGTTTCCAAATGCTGAAATTTCCCACACGATAATGATACACGGCGTATCTAAGACAACCTTGACTTTCCCCAAAAAGACTAGTATACCTCCTGTGGGGATATATTTTTGAGCACTGACACGTGGCAAAGTGACGTCGACGTGTCAGGGTCATAACGCCGAGGTGATCTCGGTTAAGCCGATGTTATCTCCAAAGATATCGGAATCCGAGATAATCAGATAAGAGATAAGGGACAAGAGTCTTAGAATGAGAGAAGACTTCAATTTGGGTAAAGATGAGACTCTTAGAGAGTTTATCCTAATTCTACTGGGAGTCCAAGATTAGCACTTATCCGGAGTCCATTAGAGTTAGGCTTCCATTAGGACTAGGATTGAGTTGGTTATAAAAGAGAGACACCCCATGGGTCTAAGGGATGTCTTTGACGCAATCTTATGCTTTGAAGTTTAGCATTATTGATTATCTTGGAGAGATATATTGACTTGATCGTCGGAGTGCCCCGGGTGGTCGAAACCACCGCCGGAATCTTCTCTTTCTGTTGTAGGTTAGCCAGGTGTCATCTATTCTACCAGTGTTCTCCAACTGAATACTATGAGTTGGGTAGTGTGATTAGAAAATCACCCACACACCTCCCATCCTTCTTTTCTAACTTTGGCAGATCAATGGTTCGACATTGATTGGTTCTGTCAATTGGATCAACCGCGAAAATATTACCATTATGGCAAACCCCAGTCCAATGCAGTATTCCATTGCAAACAACTGCGGGACTAGATTGGTACCGAAACCAAACGGAACAAAAAACGGACATTCGGTTCTCCACTCCCCTGTATCCGAACAAAAAATCTCAAATTTCAATTGTGATTTTTTAGATTAAAGTTGTGATTTTTTAGTATCAACTTGTGATATTCGCGCCACCCAAAAGCCATTATTAGTGCAGGAGCAAGGGAATCCGATGTGAACCTATCTGGGGCAGGAAGGAGGAGGAGGGAGAGAAACTCAGTGTTTGGAGAGTGGGTTACACACGTAATAAACTCTCGAGAAAACTATTGTAGCAGTGTACAATAGCAAGCCATTGCGAGATGTTAAAAATTGAACAGAATGAGGGAGAAAAGTGAGTGATTCGAAAATGGGGTTATTCTCAATTGGGTTTGCCAAGTGAACTCCCATCAGAATAGGAGGAACAGTCCAATTGTAGTGACCCTCATTCCCCACCTTAGCCTCGGGCATGAGCATTTGTATAATCTTGTTTTGCTAAGTTGCAGTAGTGAATTTTCTTGACTTGTCTTAACTAGAATGAGATTTTTGTCTTGGTTTGTACTTATGTGAAATTTACTTGTTGAGTCTTGTTCCTTCTGGTGAGTCTAGCCAAGGTCACCTTAAAGCCAGAACCACCTTGAAACCACTTTGGTTGACCTCTACCTTCGTCTTGGCATATTGGCCGAGATGTCATTTTCTAGGCTGAGGTGTGTCATCAAGGCCGAGAGGTGTATCATCTAGGTCGAGATGTTATCCTTAAACCTAAGTGATCTTGTTCCGGATTGGTGCGACCTAGACCGAGGTGTGGCACATCTAGACCGAGGTATGGCACAGCTAGGCCAAGTGTCGTCCGTCCTAGCCAGGATCATTGATACCTCACCTACCAGAGCCGATGTTTGCACCCGATGTCAGTACCTTGTCAGAATGCCATGCCACTTTACTTGTTAAACACTCTTTGTCATGCTCTTATCTTGTCTGTCAGCCACCTTTCTTAGGAGACCCAACCAGGCGTTGCCACGTGTCCCATCAGAGGGTTAAGTCAGGAACCAGCTAAGAGAAACATATCATTTTGTATCCTATCTTTGTCTTTTAGAGAGGGAGGCTCTAGGAAGAAGAAGAAGTTTTAGAGTGAGAGAGTCGGCTTTCGAGCTTGATTCCTAGAAATCAAACTGTTAGATTCATGTATTGAGGTTAGATTCTTGATTTACTCTTGTTGTTCCTTATGTTTATCTAGCTGCATTGCATGATCGAACCTGTGGAAGTCTGTACGTGCTAGGGGACTATAATCATTTGTAGCACAATCTTGAAAGTCCGTACGTGCTAGGGGACTATAAGCATTTGTAGCATAATCTTGAAAGTCCGTACGTACTAGGGGACTATAAGCATTTGTAGTACAATTCTTGAAAGTCCGTACGTGCGAGGGGACTACAAGCATTTGTAGCACAATCTTTGTTAATGTCACCCATGAAACTTGAAAGACTTGATTGATGAAGCTCGATAGATTTGTTAGATGAACTCGATTTATCCCACGTTTGTCATAAGCTATGATTATGCATTGTTTTGTTAAAGATCTCAGATGTCATACATGCAAACCCTTTATTACTTGTACCATTCACTGAGTATCCAAGCTCACCCTCTCTATATATATGTAGGTGTTGAGCAAGAAGGCAATGAGGCCTAGATGTGTTGCCAATATGTTTTCGGATGTGTTTGCCGACGTGTCTCGGATTCGTATTTTTGTAACATCTTGAAGATCATGCTTCTCGGCTTATATTTCATTGCGTTTTGTATATGTCGGCTTGAGAAGCCTTTTGGTCAAGATGTATTTTGTATTTCATTTCTTCTTGTACCCAAGTTGTAAGACCTTGTAAAGATGTATGCCATTTTATTTGACTTATGCACAGCTCTTATGGACTAATTAGATTTGTATATATTGCTTCCGCACATGTTAGCCCCATATGTAATACTCTGATTGTATGTGAATTTTGAAAGTTGGCCTTCGGTAATCTCGGATTACTAGCCATCACGGCACCATTCTACTAGGGGCGGAATGGGGTCGTGACACCAATCGATTGAGTTGGCGAAATGGAAGAACAGGGTAGTACAAGAAGAAGAAGAAGAATGGTAAAGGTTATAGCAGTGAGTGAAATAGGAAGTGGAGATGGAATTGAACCAACGCTTCGAGACGCATTTGCATCGATTGGCGTCTGTAACGGTGACTCGTTGCAAGATTTCGATGAATAGTTTGTCTGAGAGGCTGTCAAGGGTCGAACTGCTGCAGCGTCTGATACGAGGATTGCCAATCATCGCCGCTGTGTCCACTGTCTTTGAATCTTTGTTGTTTTTGCTGTTGTTGGTATCATCGGCTCCATTGTCACCACGTTCCAGAGCCCTCATCGCCATCTCTTAGCCGTTTCGTTTGTTTGATGCGTGTTATGATTATTAACGTGGATGATGGATGAGATTATTAACGATAAGTCTTTTCCAACCCATTATTATCTATGAAGTTTTCATGGCTATCTCAATGAAAAATTATTGGTTGGTGTAGGTGTGTCACATGATCATATCATTCACTAGTCATAATTTATTAAGGATAAACTTCACTTTACTCCTGTGGTTTGGGCTGAATGCAGTTTACCCTTCTGACATTCGGAAATCACCCCATAACTTTCACGTAATTTGTGAATTGAAATGCATACTAACTTATGTTAACAAGAGTTGTAAATTGACAATTATATTCTTCTTATCTCTCTCTCTCTCTTCCTTCTCTTCTTCTTCCTCCATACCCACAATTTATACATACATATACATATATACATATATACATATCAAACCCAGTTTTCTTCATCATATACAAATCCAATTCACATATATAAATCCAAACCGTGGAAGAAAAATAAAGCGGTTGTTTGTCTGCTAAACCATAGAGCAAACTGTTGAAGAAAAATGGAGTGTTTCCTTTTGCTGTAAACAAATCCAAACCCAATTCAAATCATTTTTCTAATCATATACAACCCAATCAAAGATATATATATATATATATATGTGTGTGTGTGTGTGTGTGTGTATATACACATTGAACTGTTAACATATATTTGGAGGTTGTAGATGTCCTTGATCTTTTGGTATATAGTTTGGAGCAAGATCTTGGGAATAATGACACTAGTTGAGACCATTTATCAAATCATTCAACTCTCCACTTGGTAAGTCACTAGTAGTGTCATGTCATGATCATGACAGTTTCCTTAGATTTTATATCTTCACTTTCTGTACTTATTTTGTTAAATCTTTGGTCATGTCACTGTTGTTTTTGAATTTTTTTTTCTTCTAGGGAGGAGTTCTTTATTGGTTGATGATTACTTAATTGTGGTTCTTTCTGTACTAGAATATTGGTGAGTGGAAATAGAGGGGTTGTAGAGAAATATACCTTTGGGTTTTTTAATTTGAGTGATTTAATCTTCAAAATCTTATCTTTCTGAAGAAATTTTCAGGGTTTGATTTATGAAATTGATCCTTTTTCCACGAAGATTTTGAGTGTTCAATCG